AAAAAAAAAAAAAAATCAATGGAGAAAATATCCTCGTTTGAGGATTAACAAAAACAACAAAAAAAACTCTCAAGGAAAAATATAAGATAAACACCAAAAACAAATTGTAGAATAAAAATATTAGTAATTGCAGGATGGCTCAATTGGTTGGAGCATCATCCCAATGAGCCAGGGTTGTGGATCTGACCTGGTCAGGGCACATACAAAAATCAACCAATGAATGCATAAATAAGTGGAACAACAAATCAATGTCTCTCTCTCTCTCTAAAAAGTCAATTAAAAAAAATTTTAAAATACTAATAATTTATAAAACACAAAATATAAGAACGTATCTTTAACATTTAATCTTACTAGTAACTGAGGGAAAAAATACACAACTTAAAAAAAAGGGGCATCATTTCACCTGATTTATTTAAAAATTGTAGCATTCTTACCAAGCCATTAAAACTTAAAAGTATTTGTATCTAAAAGATAAAATTATTCAAATAACAGTAATACTGTGTCACTAACTTGAACTAAGGTAAGGATAACAAGAACATGCCCATTATATTCAAAGAATATCAAACTCCAAACTTCTAACATAAGCCTCATAAATTTAAGTTATAATCAATGAATTTAACTGATATACACATTAGAAGTATTTTCTATTAGATATTAGTCTTATATTTGATGAGTTGATATAAGAAACTTAAATTTCCTTTCTTTCTGGAATGTAAGTTTTGTGCCTCAATACATTATGTCTTTGAACTTTTGAAGCCAAACATCTAAATATTCAACTTTTTCTTTACCTGAAGAATCACCTCTTCTATTTGGCCACCCTGAAGCTGGTCTTCTAATTTTTTAACATCTGGTTCCTATAATTTAAGGAAAAAAGCAGAAAAATATTTAAACAAAGGAACACAGTATCTGAATGTTTCAATATCCTATATTTTAAAAACTCATATACAAAAAAAATATACTTGCTATAACAAATGTCACTAATTTTTCTCTCATCATACCCTTATTAATTTTTATCAAATATTTGGTGGAAATCCATTTCATCTATTTTATTGCTTTTCTACCTTAATATTAAAAAGTATTAAAGATGTATTGACATGCTTATCAAGAGTGAAAAAATGCCCAGCCGGGCGTGGCTCAGCGGTTGAGCGTCAACCTAGGATCCAGGTGATCAGGGTTCGATTCCCAGTCAGGGCACATGCTCGGGTTGTGGGCTCGATCAATGACTCTCTCATCATTGATGTTTCTCTTTCTCTCTCTCTCTCTCTCTCTCTCTCCTTTCCTCTCTCTGAAATCAATAAAGATATATTTTAAAAAAAAAAAAGAGTAAAAAAAAATGATGCCTAATACGATCTTTCTAAAATATAGATTTTTAAATACCACTTTATTTTCTTAGTCTTTTCTGTATTTCCTCTGACACCATTAGCATTAAAAATAATAGTTAATCTATAACCCAGAATTCCACTCCTAGGTATAAACTAAACAGAAATGCATAATATGTTAACCAAATGACATGTTCAAGAATGTTCAAAAAGCACAAATCACAGCCTCAAATTACAAACAATCCAAATGACCACATATAATAGAATGAATGCATAAACTACAGTATTTGAATATAATAAAATACTGTACAGCCATGAGAATGAACTATAATTATAAACAATAACATAGATAGATGATTCTCTCAAATGCAATATAAAGCAAAAGAAACCAGACACAAAAGAATACATACTGATGGTTCCATTCAAAACCAAAACAAAACAAAAATGTAGTGTCAGAGGTGAGAAGAGTAGTTATCTTTAGGAGGGTAGTAACTCAAGAGGGGCACAAGAAAGGATTTTGGTGTTCTGGAAATGTCCTCTCTTTTGAGTTGGTGTTAATATGGGTGTGATTACTTTGTGAAAATTCATTAAGCTCTATACTTATGATTTCTGCACATTTCTTTGTGCATATTAATCCTTCACTGAAAGGTCGTTTTTTAAAAAAGGAAATGCTAGTATAGTACCTAGAACATTCAATGACATATATTTACTTATTTTCTGATAGACTGAGCTTTTTGAGAGCCAAAAACCATGTCCTATACACACATATGTAAACAAACATAAATAAGATGGGGGGGGTGCCCATAAATGGAATAAAAAGAGGGGAAAAAAACAAAGATATTCTCTATAGGAATTGGCATGTTCCTGCCTCAGGGCATTTGCTGTCTCATCCAGGATATCTGCATGACTTGTTCCTTCACTTCTATCCGAGTCTTCCCTTGTATATTATCTCCTTAGGGAAGACTACTTGCATTGTGGTAAAATAAGTAATGCCCCACAAGATGTACCTGAACTAATCCATGGAACCTATGAATGTTACTCTATATGGCAAAGACTTTGCAGGTGTGATTAAGTCAAGAATCTTGAGATGGAGAGATTATGCTAGATTATCTGAGTGGGCCCTAAATACAAGTGTCATAGGAAAGAGGCAGAGGGAAATTACACATAAATGAGGAGAAAGTAATGTGACCACAGAGGCAGAGTTTGGAGTGATGCAGCCACAAGCCAAGGAATGCCAAAAGCCACCGGAATTGGAAAAGGCAAGAAACAAGTTCTACCCTAGAGCCTCCAAAAGGAGCATAATCCTGCCAACACCTTGATTTGGGCCTCTGATACTGATTTTAGACTTCTGGTTTTCAGAAATGTAAGAGAATAAATTTCTATTGTTTATGGTTATTTGTTACAGCAACCACATGAAACTAATACATATTATAATATCCCTCATTACCCTGGTAACACATCATTCTTCCTTTTTTAATTTTCCTTCACTACACTTACTATTGTCTAACATACTACCTAATGTACTTCTTTATTCACTTACTTTATTTATTTATTTGTTTATTTATTTATTTTGCCTCCCAACATTGAGAAGGCAGCAAGGATTTTTATCTGTTTGGCTCATTGCTATGTAAGCACTAGCTTTCATACCTAGAACCATACCTGGCATATAACAGGCAGTGTTTCTTGAATAAAAAGTCATTGGAAAAGAAGGGGGGGAAAAGCAGATGAACATGTTTCAGAAAGATTGTTAAATTCAGAATTAACTGAGCCATGATGCCCAAAATCAAAAACAAAACAGGGAAGCTGGTCACGAGACCCAGAAGTGTGAAGGTTAAGAGGACAAGGGATATATTCAATAATATTTTCAATTCAAGAAAAGCCTGTGTTAGAAAAACAATTCAAAATTTGTCTTACTGAAGGTAAGTCAATAATGTGACTTTTATTTACAAATGACATAATGCCACTAAGCTAAATAAGGTACTATATACTGCATGCTCACTATATGCCTGCAACTGTGTTAAGCACTTTACATAAATTACCTCATTCGGTCCTAACAATAAGTGTTCAAGGTAGGTATCAGTACACCCAAGTTATAGGTGAGGAAATTGAGACAGAGAAAATGGACAAGGTGCCAAAAGCCATTCAGCAAGTAAGTATTAGAACTGAGATGAAAACTTCGAATAGACTGCAAACGAGTGCTTTACACCAATATGCTATTACTATCTCCCTAGTATAATCTGTAAAAATATTTACTTTTATTTCCATTTTAGGCTTAGTAAATAGGTACTTTACAATCACAACAATATTCACTGAGACTCTGTGTGGTTCTAAGGGGGGTTAAAAATCTGTGATAATTTAACCAAAACCAAAAATCAACAATATAACTATTATGTAATGTAAGAGGCTATTAAAAACTATTTGTATTTAGCCTTTTGGATACAAAACATTTCTGAGGGTATGGACTGGTAGAGGAGACATAAATAAAATACGGTGTGATAGGTACAATGGAAGCAAGGAAGCTATCAATCTCTACTTAGGGATGTAAGAAAAGGTTTCACAGAGAACGTAATGGATCTTGAGGACTGAGTAAGAACTGCCAGACAAACAAGGAAAGTAAGAGCATTCCAGGAAGAGGGGGGAAAAAATACAAAAATAAAATTGCATGGAATTCACATAACTGTCAGCAGTTTGGTATTGCTGAGCATAAGGTACAAAATAGGAAATGATAAGTTTGGGAAGATAACCTACAGCCAAACCTTGGGCCCTTCCATCTATGCTAAGGACTTAATCATATAAGCTAGTGGTTCCCAAGCCGGGCTGTACATCAAAATCATGCAGATAAGATAGTAAGATAGTAGATGAGTTTTCACATAGCCAGCTCAACATAAATCAATAAACTCAGTCTTTGAGAATCACTGGACAGGAAACCATGGTACAGTTTTTAAGGAGAAAGACATCATGATTTACATATTTTAAAAAATCACTCTACTGGCAATGTGGGATATATATGGATATAAAATGATGTAGAATTGAACTACACACAGACCAATCAGTTAAAAGGCAATTGAAATAGCACAGGTCAGGGAAAAGGATTTTAGAATAAATGGAAGTAATGAGAATGACCTATTCTTCAGCTGACAGCGGCTATGAGAGAAAAGAGAAAAATAAGGGCAAAGTAAAGGAAAATATAAACATAGTTTTCTTTTTCTTTTAAGATAGGAACAGCTAAACACATTTTGAGGCTATCTGAGAAGGAAAGCAGAGTTAGAATAAAGTGGAAGACATTCACCTTATGAAAAAAAAAAGGAAATGTCTTACTCTATAATGGGAAAAAAATACATAAGCCCATTTTCCTTAAGAAAAATCAAAAGAAATGTTAATTGCCCCTTTACAGACTTTAATCTGTAAATTAATTCCAGAATTGCCAATCTAAGAGTAAAAATTCCAAATCAAAGTGCATTGTTTTGTTGTACACCTAAGGAAAAAATAAAAATCCTTTACATTAGAATACTTATTGCACAAATGTCAATACTTTTGGAGTTTATGAACTCGATTTTGTATAATTACAAAAGTCCATGAAGTAAGTGCTACTGCGGAAATTTGACAATAGGACAATAAAGTTTGGTATAAAAGAATCAACAGAAACCCACAGCCTAGAGCCTTTGATTTAGAAGCTGAAACATGCTTATATTAGTCTGCTTGGGCTCCCTAACAAAATACCATGGATTGGGTGGCCTAAGCAACAGAAATTTATTTTCTCACAGTTCTGGAGACTGAAAGTCCAAGATCAAGGTCCGGCAGGGTAGGTTTCTTGTGAAAGCTATCCTTCTAGCTTGCAGACAGCCACCTTCTCAAGGCGTCCTCACATGGCAAAGAGAGCATGAGCTCTCTGGTGTCTCTTCTTGTAAGGACACTAATTCTCCTGGATCAGGGTACCACTTGTATCACCTCATTAACCTTATTACTTCCATAGAGGTTCCAGCCACAGGAACCTGACAGGGCTTCAACATATAAATTCTGGGGACACAAACAGTCAGTCCTTAACAATGCTCAATAAAATTTTGTAGTTAAGTGACTAATTTGTCCGCTTCTTTCTGCAATAAAGCACTTTTTAAAACTTACTTCTGACAGTTTTCTTTAAACACAACACCCTTTTTTGTTTTGTTTTCATTTTTTATTCTGAAACTAGAAAAAAGGGATGAAGATTGATGTATCTATAGATAAAAAATAAAAGATTAATAAAGGACTGGACAGGAAAGAGAGGTAAAAGAAACAGCGACAATGTTAACTTAAGGAATAGACTTGATCTTATTCCTTTACTCCAATATTTAATAGGGCCTGGCATATAGGAAGCACTCAGTAAACAGGTGTTTGATGAATGAAATGGAGAAAGGATGGAAGAAAAGTATGAAAGGAAAAAGAATAGGAAGAGGAAAGTGTATAGAATATGCAAAAAATGAGCAACTGAAATTTTTTTGTTAAATGTTGCATTGGATACCATAAATCCCAGGAAATTAAGTCAGCTACTTACCGCTTTAACCATATCCAGCTTTTCATTTGTAATCTGTTCTGTATATTTTCTATATGCTGCATTTTTAGGGATTTGCTCAAGAACATCAAGAATTTTTGTATATAATATTCTCAGCCTCTGAAAAGACAAATCATACAAATTGCCATTTTCAAATACCACCAAAGATTAAATGAAACACTTTAAAAAGTCTTACAGGCTTTAAAAAAAAGACTCACAACTGTTTTTAAAAAGCATTTAACTCTACCTGTAATTTCTTCATGTCCATGCCCTATCTCTTTTACAATTTAGGAAAAATAAACTTTTCCTTATTACTTCTTTAAATTTGATTTGAAATTTGCTTTAATTGCATAAAATAAATAGGCATACACATACACACACACACACACAAACACATGCACGAATAAACAAACAAAACTTGAGGACATCTAAGAATCATTTTACTTAAAAAGTAGTCTGCATATTTAGACANCATAAAATAAATAGGCATACACATACACACACACACACACACAAACACATGCACGAATAAACAAACAAAACTTAAGGACATCTAAGAATCATTTTACTTAAAAAGTAGTCTGCATATTTAGACATTATTTATATATTTGGATACAATATTCCATAATGGAGGGTATTTTACTATACTAATATGGAGTTTGTCATGAAAAATATAGATGATAGATAGATAGATGATAGATAGATAGATAGATAGATAGATAGATAGATAGATAGATAGATAGATGATAGATATAGATAGATATAGTCTGAATTGTGTGGGGTTTTCTCAGCCACATTTCTTCTTAATTTCAGCAAAGGGTATGACAATAGAAAGGCCTTTAAAGAGACCTGTGTTTTAAAATGGGGATATTATTAGCTGCTTCATAGGGTGTTGTATAACTTATAACAGTATCTGGAACATACATATTAGGTTTCAATAAATGTTAGCATCATTATTCTACATGGGAAGGAGTAGTCACTTCAGCAGATATCAGAGAAGGGGTATACAGAAAAGGCAGCATTGGCAATAGACCTGGAAGGGTGGTAGGACTTGGAGAATTAAACATTTTGGAAAACGCAATTTTACACACAGAATACATATATAGGATTGAATGGCAGAAAATACAGGGAACATAATCAGTATGAAGTTCTATTTTCCTTGAACTGTGTTGTACAATACAGTAGCCACTTGCCAAATATGGTAACTGAGCACCTGAAACATGGCTAGTCAGAACAGAGATGTGCTAGAAGTGTAAATACATACTGGATTTTGAATATTTAGTATGAAAAAAACTGTAAAATATCAATTTTTATATTAATTATATATTGTAATAATATGTTGGATATGTTAGGTAAAACAAAACATTATTAACTTTACCTTTGTCTTCTTTTTTTCTTTTTTTATTTACTTTTAGAGGGAGAGGAAATGGGAAAGGGAGGGGGAGAGGGAGAGAGAGAAGAGCGGGGAAGGGGGGAGGGAGGGAAATATCAACCAGCTGCTTCCTGCATCCACCCCAACCAGGAATCAAACCTTCAACCCAGGCATGTGACCTGAACCAGAATTGAACCCGTGACCCTTTGGTGCATAGGACAATGCCCAACCAACTGAACCACACCAACCAGGGCAACTTTACATTTTTCTTATTAAAAAAAGTGACTCCTAGAAAATTACAAACATGGCTTCCATTTATGACTTGTATTATTTTTATTACATAGCACATGGATAGAATATAGGACACATATGAAGTACTTAGAAAATAAGGTTGGATAAGAAGTGAATTACATTATAAGTGGTGTGGCATGCCAAGTTAATGCTTTTGGGCTTTATTCTGTGGGCAATAAAAAGATTTAGGAATAGTGTATGATTAAATCTGTGCTTCTAGAAAATTGACCTGGCAGTACTGAGTTAAAAGGATTAGATGGAGAAACAGGCAGAAAGGCCAGTAACAAGGTTGCTGCAGTTCTTAAGAGCAAGGAACTAAACTGGTAATAGAAGTAGGGAAAGGAAAGAGGTCAGACAGGAGAGGTGTTAAAAAAATAAACAGAACTCATCACTGGAATGAACATGAAGATGCAAGAGTAAGAGGAGTATCAACTATGATGTCCAAATTCCCAGTCTGGGGAGTAAGAATACTGATAACTCTCAAGAAAATTAAGAGTTCATAGTGGATAAAACAGATTTAGAAACAGAAAACCATGAGTTCAGTTTTTGACAGTAATGAGTCTAAGGTCATTATGAACTCATGAGTGCAACAAACATTTACTGAGCACGCACCATGTGCTAGTCACAGTTCTAGCAGTGAACGAAATAATAAAAAATTGCTGCCTTCATGAAGACCTACATTCTAAATTTTTTTTTTAAATATATCTTTATTTCAGAGAGAGGAAAGGAGAGGGAGAGAGAGATAGAAACATCAGTGATGAGAGTCATTGACCGGCTGCCTCCTGCACGCCCCTGACTGGGGATCGGGCCCGCAACCCGGGCATCGGGCCCGCAACCTGGGCATGTGCCCTACTGGGAATCCAACGCCGAATACCTGGATCCTAGGCTGAAGCTCAACCGCTGAGCCACGCCCGGCCGAGCTACATTCTAAATAGATACAGACAAGATAAATCAGTGGAATAAAGTCTGTTGACCAGTGATCTAGAAGGCCATAGTAAGGACTCTTATTTAGAATGAAAAGCCACAGGAGGCTTTTGAGGAAAGGAGTGATATGACAACTTACATTCTTGCAGGTTGACTCTAGTTTGATTAAAAAATGACCAAACTGAAGCAGTGACAAACAGGAAGAGGCAAATGCAATTATGCTCAGCAGTGGTGATGGTGGCTGAGGACAGGGTAGTAGCAGAGGTGGTGGTGAGTAGTCAAAATAGGGATATATTTTGAAGGCAATACCCAGAAGATTTACTGAAGTACCAAATATGGGGTGTGAGAGAAAATAAAAATTAAAGATGATCAAGATTTTGACCTAAGTGATTGGAAGAACGGAACGGCCATTCTCTGATATGAGTAAGCCTAAGAAAGGAACAGGTTTTAAGGAGATCAGGAACCCAATTTTAGACATGTTAAGTTTGGGTTGCCTGCCTGACATCCCAGTGGAGATGTCCACTAAGCAATTAAATATGCAAGACTCGCACAAAGGGAGAGGTCAGTGCTTGATATAAAAATTTGAGTTATCAGTGTATATGGTGGTACTTAAAACAACTACACTATGTCCAGACACCAAGAGAGAGCAAATATAAGTAGAGAAAAGGTCCAAAAACTAAGTCTGAGAACTCCAAAATTTAGAAGTGGGAATATGAGGAATAACCAGAAAGGGAGAAGGCAAAAAGAGCAGGGATTAAAAAAAACCGGAGGTGTCCTGAAGCGAAGTAGAGAAAGTGCTTGATGAACTGTGCTACATGTGTCAAGTGCTGCTACTGGGTCAATAAAAATGAGAAATGTGAGATGACCATTGGAGACAGCAGCACTGATGTCATGGTGACCTTGAAAAGTGCAGTTTGGCCAAGCCTGACTGGAGTATGTTCAAAGGGGAATGAGAGAAATTGGCCAGTATGGACATTTTAACAATGTTAATTCTTCCTATCCATGAATACAGTATATGCTTCCACTTATTTGTATCTTCAATTTCCTTCCTCAGTGTCTTATAATTTTCCAAGTTCAGGTCTTTTACCTCCTTGGTTAAATTTATGATGGCTGCCAGAGGGGAGGAGTTTGGGGGACTGGGTGGAAAAGGTGAAGGCAATGAGAAGTACAGATGGATAGTTACAAAATAGTCACAGGGATGTCACGTACAGCATAGGGAATATAGTCAACAATGTTATAATAATCAGGTATGGTAACAGGTGGGTACTGGAAATATCAGGAGAAACACTTTGCAAAGTATATGACTGTCTAACCACTATGCAGTACACCTGAAACGAAGACAAAATAATACTGAATGTAAACTGTAATTGGAAAAAGAAAAAAAAAATTTTAAATAAATCAAAAAAGAAACTGGAGACGAGTACAGATAAGGAGTTATCTATAAAGGGAAGGAGGAAAATGGTGTGGTAATTGGAGGGAGGAAAAGGATCGCAGATTTGGGGGTTGGGGGTTCAATGGAATCATGTCTGAATACTGAAGGGAAAGACCTACTAGAAGGGAAAACTGATGACAAAGGGGGTAACTGCTAGAGCCCAATCTTCGGCAAGCCTAGACAGAAGTAGTGAGGCAGGGAAAAGGAGAAAAATGGCGATATCGACTTGGAAGCAGACTAACAAAAGTACGAGTGAAGCAACAAATGCCACAAAAAAACACTCAACAATTAAAGTGGCTGAAGAAAGAGGTGATGACAAGACAAAACAAAACAAGAAAGTGGCACGGGATCAACGCAGTGGACACCGCCCTCGTCTCAGAGCTCAGGGTGAGCAGTGACTGCGGGCAGGGGGCGCCCGCGCCCTCCACCTCTCCGCGGGCGAGGCCGCCGGGGTTCGTCTCCTCGCGGGCTCGGAACAAAGGAACGGAAGAGGGACCCACCTCGTGCGGACTCTCACACACAGCCAACCCCACGAGGCCAGTAGTCTGTTCAAAAACAAAACACAATTCATGCTGTTTAAAATTCGGCGCGTCCACCACGCTAAGAAAAGGCAAAACCACCAACCCCGGGCTGAAACTGGCCTACACCCAGCTACCGCTCTCTCAACGCCGCTAGTCCGGAGCTGTTTTCCGCCCCCGAGGGCAGAGCAGAACGAGGCCGCAAGGCGCCGCCACGCCCGCGCCGCCACCCGAGGGACGAAGGGCTGTCGGGCTGACTACCCCTCGTCTTTGAAATTCCATCAGTGACCTCCACCCGCCTCACCTTCTTCAGCAAGCCCGCCATGACAGCGCCGGGCAGCGGAGGACGCGCAGCCCTCTGGGAAGCGCCTTCAGACCGGCTCAATCCACCACCGAGGCCGCCTCCCCGTCACCTTGGAAACAGCGAGGCTCCTCCCCCTCAGGATCGCGGCCCGGGCAAAGGCTCTGTCCCGCCCGCTCCAGAAGGAAAACTGACGCACGCGCAGTGAGCCCACCAGCGTCTCATCCGGGCACTCGGGGAGCGGGTTTTGTGTCGGGCGCCGCGCCGGGGTTTCCGTCCCCTGCGCCGCCGGCGGGTTGCTGAGAGGTTGAGGGAAACGCTGCGAGCGACCAAAATCTCAGAAAGTCGTTCGGGGGACCTTCAATCTACCTTTGGCGGATTCCTTGACGTCCCTCCCACGGTGTAGTGAGTGAAGTGAGGGCGGCCCCACGTGGAGCTGTCGGCGCAGGAATCTCAGCTGCAAAGGTGAACCGTGCAGATGCGCAGCGCTCTCCGTGCTTTAACCACGCCCCGCGCGGGGTGCAGCTGCCGCGCCCTTCAAGCCCCTCCTCCTCCGTCGCGCTCACTGCGGCGCTGTCCCGGGTGCGGCGCCACCGGGGCGCTCTGCCCACTGACCCCCGCACGCATTCACTGCGCACGTCCTCGCTGCTGGGGTATCATTTGTAGGACAGGATCTCATCCTGGAACTCTCCGAACACGTCATGTCAGTGTTCCGAAGGGGTGTGCACAGGGAGCAGGGAGAGGGAACGAACAATCAACAACTGTGGGTGCCTTGAGTTAAAGAAGGCATTTACTAAAAAGCTAATGAGAGAAAAGCACAAGAGAGAACACGTGAACAAATATGTATATATATTCTGAATAGCAAAAGTCATTTAAATAGTAAAACATCCTACAAAATAGAAGATATTTGCAAGCACCTATAATCACCAAAAGATAAGCAGTACCTAGAATATATAATGAACTTCTGTAAATCAGAAGGAAAATAACTAATAACCTGGACAGATCTCCCTGCTTCCATTCCTGCCGTCCTGTCTGGAATATATTAAACCAGTTAATATGTGTAAAGTGCCTGGCTCAGTGCATGGAACAAAGCACCGCACACAGGACTGCTATTAATTTTTCATTTTGGTATTACTATTCTCAACCTAGTAGCTAGAAAAAATTCTTTTAGAAAGTACTTTGCTTAAAATTCCTGATTTTTCATTTGAAGTGTAAAAGCCGCAGTCTTTACACTGCCTATGATGTTCTCATGAGATTGCCCCTTCTGCCCCTCCCTCTGGACCTAACCTCCTGTTCCCCTTCCCCTGCTCAGGTAGCTGCTCTTCTAACCCATTTCTTGAAAAACCCTTCCACCAGTTGGGCACATGCCTGGCTCTCTCACTTCTTTCAAGTATTTCTGCAAAATATTAGCTTCTCAATGTGGCCTGCCCTGGCCCTGAGATTTCAAATTGCAAGTTACCACAAACGCACTCCTTACCTTCTCTGCTTCACTTTAAAAAAGAAAAAAAAAATTGTATTGATTCTTGGAGAGAGAGGAAGGGAGAAAAAGAGAGAAACACTGATGCAAGAGGGAAACATTGATCAGCTGCCTCCTGCATGCCCCCCCACCAGGTATTGAGCCCCCAACCCAGGCATGTGCCCTGACTGGGAATCAAACCAGCAACCTTCTGGTACATGGGACAACACCAAACCAACTGAGCCACACGAGCCAGGCCTCTGCTTCAGTTTTCTTCATCTCTGATCACCTTTTAATGTGTTATCTAATTATCTTTCATTGTTTTTTTTGTATCATTCTTTCTAGAATATAAGCCATACGTGAATGGAAATTATGTCCTACCATATCTCAGGTGCCTAAAATAGGTACATAATAGGCACTTAATACATATGTTTTTAGTGAATATGATTTTTTTTTAAAAAGGGAAAAGAAATTATATGCAATAGACAAAAATGGAAAAACAAACACTCCACTAACTCAAGTTCCCTAGTAATTAAGTAAATGAAACTTAATTATAATTTTACTGCCATCTTGTGGACAAAAATTAAGGACTGATACTATCGAGTGTTAGCAAGGATGTGGAGGAACAGAAACAAATACTGCTGGCGGGAGTGAATTGGTATAATCACTTTGTGGAATAATTTTACAAATGTTAGTTGAAGATATGTAAAACCTGTAACTGAGCGTTATCGGTTGAATTATGTCCCCTCTCAAATTCATATGTTGAAGTCCTAACCCTCACTGCCTCAAAATGTGACTTTATATGGAAATAGGATCATTGCAGATGTAATTCACTGAGGTGAGGTCATTAGAGTAGGTCTTGTCCAATATGACTGATGTCCTTATAAAAGGGAAAATTTGGACACAGAGACATGCACACAGGGAGAATGCCATACAAAGATGAAAGCAGAGATCAGGATGAAGCCAAGGAACACCAAAGATTGCCAGAAAACCACTATAAATTAAGGGAGAGGCACGGAACAGATTCTCTCAGCCTTTAAAAGAAACCAGCTCTGCTGACGCCTTAATCTCAAACTTCTAGCCTTCGACAGGTGAGCTAATACTTTTATGCTATTTAAGCCGCTTGGTTTGTGGTATTTTGTTACAACAACCCTATAAACTGGGTAACATTAATTTGTTCATATGTTCCTCTCTTCCATTTAGGATAGCTGTCCCTAGAAACATTAGCCATGGGATACAATCTTTCCAGAACATATTACCCAAGAATTAGACTTTACTATAACACAATAATTTCCACCTTATAGTATTTAAATCATCCACAATAACAGTTCTGGAGAGAGGACATATATTTACACTGTGCATGTACTAATGGCATTTTAAAGATATGCATGTGCATTGATATATATATAACATACATAAATGTAAAGAAACTATGGAATTAGAACAAACCATCCGATATACTATTTGCTCCTACAAAGGTGTCATACTGATTTGGGCACACTAGATTAGATACAGGAAACCACATTAGGATTGGGAGGAAATATCCTATTTTTTAAACCAGATGGTGAAATCATCACTGAAATTTAGATGAATGGAAGTTTATGAGGTCACAGTCCTTGTTCACTGTCCCTCCAGATTCTAAGAATTTTCATCATTGTTGGGGAGTGTTCTAGAATGAGAATCATGTGATCATAAAAGATGCACATGTTTTCATTTGGTGTAACTTTGAGCTCAGGCTTTTGCTGCACTATATTTGCTAAACACCACACAGCTAACAGACCTAGCTGACCCTGGCTAAGGTACTGCATAGCTAACCAGTTATATGTGGTAGGAAAATGTATTTCCTGAGCCAATTCCTTTGCAGAGGTGTGGGGCTTTGTATGAAGGGGCCTAGATAGTGGTGTCCTATGGCTGATGACAGCAGAATTAGCTACAAAGGGAAATCAAACTTGACATCTGTGATATCAAAAGGGGACTTGGGAATGTCTTAACGTGAGTAGCAGGGGCATCAAATGCACCGTATTTTCAGCTGGAAGAAAGTTCCCAGAGGGGTAAATGTTTAAATTGTCAGGAAGGAGGTAGGTGTTGGAAAGTTCTATAAATAAAGTTAGCAGGCCAGGTGATTTAGAGCTACAATCTGGATCTCATCTTTTATACAATTTGCTCTGCAGGACTTCTAGCCTATCCAATTAAAAAGGGCTTGTTTCTCCAAAATTAAGTAACTGGAGGAGTTAGGACCCCTTACATTGCTTTTTAGTGGCACAAGGCTCTTTTGTGAAGGGCTGGATCTTACCAAAGTTAGGTAGTTAAAATGTTTCCCTGGATTGTATGGCTCTGGAGCTATGCCAGGGGAGCCTTGACCTGAGGAAGGCATGAGACCAAATGGCTGAAAAGGAAGAAAGCATTTCAATGTTCAGGGCATGAGGGACTCATTCCTGAAAATCTAGTGGGGATGAGTACTGCCTTGGCCACTTTCCCCTTAGTTTTCATGATTAGGAAGCAGAGGTGAAAATAATCTCCATTCAGAGAGTATTCTTTTCTCTCCCAAACTTGGCAACAAAGAAAATCATTTTGCTCAAGTTAGTTCTTAGAACAGATGACATATTAAAATTGTAATAGTTTGGGTATCTGTTGTGCCTCCATTCCTATCAGGTGTGTGTGTTTCTGATGTGGTGGGTTTTAGAACCTCATTTTAAATTGGGCTATAACTCAGTTTGTTTAAAGAGGTGAAAACTATTTTATGAGACTAAAATAAATATTTATTTACATAAATGGTAATAATACACTAATAAAATGGTAATAAAATGATTATTTTAAAAATTAATACCATAACAGAATTTAGAAATAGATAAAATTAGGTATAAGAAAAACTTTAAAATGCTGAAAAGATATCATAAACGTTGATGTTGTATTTTAACTAGTTTCATCCAATGTTAAAAGATAAATTAAGTAACATAAAATAAGCAAGATAAAATGGAGGTGGCAGACAATAGCTAAAGGAGAGATGGGACTTCAGAAATTGGAGATGAAGCATATAATCATTTTTAAAAACTGGATAAACAGCAGAAAAACTAGAATAATCATTAAGTAAGCAAATGTATATTGATTGCTTGCTTTGCGTCAGAAACTGCAATAGGTACTAGGATTCTGTCAGTGAACCAGATCGACAGGTCTCAGTCATTAAGGAGCTTCATTGTAGTGGCTGGACATACAGTAAACAAATAAACTAATTAATAAATAAAATTACCAAATGTGATTATTTTCAAAAAAGAATGAGTCTGTGCTATGATAGTTAAGAGTGCAGGAAAACATTCCTGAGAAGGTGACATTGATTCTGAGACATGAAGGAAGAGAAGGATCCAGTCATATAAAAACTAGCTAGAGAGTGTTCCAGGCAGAGGGAACAGTAGGGGCAAAAGTGTGAGAGGGGGAACGTTCTGTGACAGGAGTGTGGCTGAGGTAGAGGTGAATCGGAGGGCGGCAGGGAGCGAGTGGAAAAAAATCATGCAATGGGAATGATTTGAATACAATCTGATAGACACTTTTAAAAGACTACTCCAGTCATTGGGAGAATGGATTGCAGCAGAGAAAGAATAGAAAAAATGGTTTGAAAATCACTGCAGTAATCTGAGCCAAGAAG